TGCCATCAAGTCAATTCTGACTGATAGCAACCCCCCACTGGGTTTCTGAGGCTGTAAATCTTAATGAAAGTACATTGCCCCATCTTCCTTCTGTGGAACAGCTGGTGGGTTTGAACCGCTGACCTTCCAGTTAGAAGCAAAATGCTTTATCCACTATGCTGTAGGCATTAATGTTGTCATTAGTTGCTATCAGTTGATTCTGACTCATGATGACCCCATGTATACTGTTTTTAAATGCAACAGAGCAGTAGATTTTGGTTTATGCAGCTTTGTACTCCTATGAAAATATTCAAAGGTATTTTAATCTTTGGACTCCCAGGAAGTAAAGGAAGCTGCTTCACTGCTCTATCACCTTTATTTTCATAAACAGTTACTGCTTTCACAAATGTATCCAACCCATTACCATTAAGTTGATTCAGACTCATAGCCAGCCACCCATAGAGTTTCTAAGGCTGTAAATCTTTACAGGAGTAGATTGCCTCATCTTGCTCCCATGGAGCAACTGGTGGGTTTGAACCACCGACCTTAGAAGCCAAAATATTTCCAGCATGAGTTTTATGTTGTTGTTGTTAGTTGCTGTTGAGTCAATTCCAACTCATGGTGACTCTATATGTGCAGAGTGAACGACTCCATAGGATTTGCAAGGCTGTGACATTTTGGAAACAGATCACCCGTCCCGTTTCTGGAGCACTTCTGCTAAAGTCAAGCCACTAACCTTTCTTTCATCTAGTAGTTAGCACATTCTCTCCGAATTTTCATAAACATTCAAAAAGGCAAACATGCCCACTTGGTAGATAAGACAATTGGAGACTCAGCTAAGTTTAGTGGTTTGATCAAGACTTTCTAATTAGGCTGTGAGAGAGTGAGGGTTTAGATCAAGCTCTGTCTGACTTCAAAGATCATACATCTTGTTTTAATTGATCCCAAAACTTCCCCCTCAGCTATGGTAAGTGAATTCTTCGCAGGAGTAATAACGAAAGCAAATACTTGTTTACCTTTAACACTAGACACTGTACTGAACGCTTAATATATACTGACTCATTTAATCCTTGCAACACTAAGAAGCAGAAATTACTATCCTCATTTTACAGGTGAGGAAACTGAGGCAAATGGCAACGGGGCAAAGTCATACAACCAGTAAATGACAGAGCTGAAATATAAACCCACAGCGTGGCTTCAGAGTATGTGCTCAACCACTAGGCTAAGGAATCAGAACTTCTGGAATTATTTTTAAGGCTCAACAGAAAAAGTGTGAGTTGACTTTCTAAAATAATATTTTAAAACTTATACATCCAAATGAGTGCCCTGGAAAGTATTAATCAAAATGCTTGCCATTTCTTTCCGAGCCTGAAGCAAATAATGATGATAACAAAAAGAGGTACAGCTGAAATTAATTTTACATGTATTAAGTGACATGTTTTACAAATGTTTCGCATGTTATCTCACTTAATGTTTATGAGAGTAGCATAATTATTCCTACAATACAAAATAAAATTACTAAGGCCCCCAAAATTTAAATAACTTTCTCCACATGACATAGCAAACTTATGATGGTTCTGGAATAAGCATGGATTCTCTGAATCCAGAATCCACCCTCCATAATACCACACTTGTATTCTATTCTTTCATATATTTTTAATGGTGGAAAACTATACCTTTAGAGAATAGTGTTGCTTTTCCCAAAACTGGCAGAAGACATTTGTGACTAAGCCCTAAGTTTTAGGAATTCTAGGTACTTGAGATAAACACATAGACTGAATTTCTCTAGTCATCTATACATTTTCTGAAATCAATCCTCAAAAGGTAACTCAGAACACATGCAATGGCAGCATGATAGTCATTGTGCCGTTGAGTTGATTTCAACTTATAGCAATACTATAGCGTACAGTAGAATTGCCCCATCAAGTTTCCTAGACTGTACTCTTTACAAAAGCAGATTGCCAGGTCTTTTTTAGTTAGAAGGTATTCTGGTGGTACAGTGGTTAACTATTCAGCTGCTAACCAAGAAGTCAGTGGTTCACACTCACCAGCCACTGTGTGAGAGAAAGATGAGGCAGTCTGCTTCTGTAAAGATTTATAGCCTTAGAAACCCTACGGGGCAGCTCTACTTTGTTCTAAAGACTGCTATGAGTCAGTGGGTGCGTTTTCAGGTAGAGTCTCCTAAGGTGATGGCTTTATTTATTTATTTTTTTATTGTGATTTGGGTGAAGATTTACAGAGCAAATTCACTCTCCATACAGCAGTTCACATATACTTTGTCTCATGTCATTGACCACAGTTTACCACAATGCAACAGCTCCCCTCCCACTTCCTCCCCATAGTTACCACTTCCCAGTGTCCATCCCTCCATACTCTCCTGTCCCCTGAGCTGTCTCCCTGTGCATAAGCAGCCCTTCCTTCTCCCATGATTGTTCTCTCCAGGGCATGTGTCTACTTGAGGTAAATGTTCAACTCACATGCCTGTACTTTGTTTGGCTGGAAACCACAGGAGTGGGTTCAATTCCAGACCTGAAGGGCAGCTAGGGGCCATAGTCTCAGTGGTTCCACCAGGCTCTATTGGACCAGCAAACCTGGTCCCAACCACCTAAGGTGATGGCTTTAAAGAGATATTCTTACTCATAAGCATATTTATGTTTTATATTTGGCTGACACTGCATATTAATGATGATAATCATGACCAGATGCTGACTATATGCACACTGGGCTAGTGGTACAATGCTCACTGGCACCATTTAGACATTATGTGAAAGCACTGGATATACCAGTTTATAATGGTTATGATTGCCTGCTAAACTACTTCCTCATTAGCAGCACTTTTCTTATAGGGAGAACATGGATGACTTTAATGCTTGATTCTAGAGGATCTACATTGTATCTGGTTCAGTCTCACACTGTGAATGGAGACTGTACTTAGTTGGGGACACTTAATGAACTCCTTGATAGGATATGTCACTCAAGTGGGTGAGGTAGTTCCCAAATCTCCATTTCTCTCTGCTTTGTATAGATCAGCACTAACTCACCCAATCATGGTTTTCATAGGACTTGCTGGTAGTTACAAATAGCATTAATTCTTCTTCATTTGAATTGATGCATTTGAATTATAGTGTTGATGAGGAATACTGAATATAACATGAACTGCCAGAAGAATGAACAACTCTGTCTTGGAAGAAGTACAGTGAGAAAGTTCTTTAGAAATGAGGATGGCAAGACTTTGCCTCATGTACTTCAGAACATACTATCAGGAAGGAAATCATTCTTATTAAAGTAGAGGGTCAGCAAAGAAAGGAACACTCTCAATGAGACGGACTGACACAAGACTGCAACCACAGCTCAAACAGCAACGGCTGTGAAGATGGTGCAGGATCGGGGAGCATTTCATTCATTCTCATGGGTTGCTATGAGTCGCAACCAGCTCAATGGCATTTTACAATAACAACAACAAAAAATAGCAACCTCTTTTTTCTAATCTATAACTCAACATGTTGTTGTTATCTACCGTCAAGTCAGATCCGACTCATAGCAACCCCTCCTTAGATTTCCAAGGCATTATCACTATGTAAGTAGATTGCTCATCCTTCATTCTGAGGAGTGGCTGGTGGGTTTGAACCACCAGCCTTCTGGTTAGCAGTCAAATGCCTTGGGCCCTATACTACCACAGCTCCTATAACTCAACATTGTTGTTATTGTTATGTGCTATCGAGTCAGATCTGACTCATAGTGACCCCTCCTTGGGTTTCTGAGGCAGTATCACTACAGAAGTAG